TTTTCTTGGTAAAGAACTATCTGCTGCATATACCATCCTATCCACAATTCATTCACTTACATCAAATGATATGAGTCTCTCAAGCACCTAGTTTCTTATACTTGTACTTCTGCAGAGCTGAAAGCCTTTTAAGGGCTGACACCTACCAAGATCCCATTTCAAGAAACTGTGCTATTTCAGTCAGCTAATTTGTATCCATTGCCACACAAATCATTCCCCAGGGTATTGCTTTTGGTGGTATGATAAAGTGGCAGCTCCTAACAAGATCAGGAGACAAGATACCAAAGTACATAATCTCTTTTAGCTCAAGGGGCTCAGACTTTTTGTAAGTACTTCCTTTAGGCCATCACCAGGACTAAATAACTTTGCTCCTTGAAAACCCCAGCAGAAGAGTTCCTCCTACCTGACCCTTGCCACATACATGCACACAAAAGGATTACTCAGGCAAGAATGATTTGAGTAAATAGAAATGGCATAAAAATCATAGGTCATTCAACTGATGTGCTCATAGGCTACCATGCGTGCTACTTGGAATAGAGATACGGATTTTAACATGTTATCTTGGAATATTTCCCTATTCTTTTGGTACAGTGATGAAATAACATTAATGTGATAAGGCAAATGTTAATTTAAAGCTAACAGAGACAGTACTCTCCTAGGCAGTGTAGTTTATGTTACAGAACCAGGCTTTATCTTTGCTTTTTGATATGGAAACAGGCAAAATATATTCTGTGATATCTGCTGCTCTGTTTGCAGAATCCCTTGATGCAAAGAGCTTGTTTAAAACGATGTATTGTAATGCTGATTTCTGTGGTTCTCAGCAGGATTTAGGGCTTCAAACACTGCAAACTCTACAGGGGAATTTTACTTTTCCAGTGTCTTCTTTTGATGAGCTGGTTGGTTTGCCTTTTTTTTTAAACAAAAAAAAAAAAACCAAAAAAACCCCAATTAAAAGAATGAGACTTGAAATACAAGCCTTAGAAAAATGTAAACCCTGAAACATAAACTAAGCAAGAGCTTGGCCTGGTTTTAGGTAAAGCAGAACCTATTTTATTTTCAGTTAAGCCTCTTCTAACTAACTGAACTCTCTGAAATTAATGGCATATTTGTCAGACACTGTCCACTTCTAGCAGAGATAAGACATAATTGTTTCTAATTTATGCCAAGGAATAGTATGCAGAGAGGTTCCTGCTTATACTTATTGCTATAACAACCAAGGTTGGCTCACTTTGTTATTTGCCCTGTTGAAGGGTCAGAAGTGGAAGGGCATAGAGGGGTCCCACATGTGGGGAGGAGCAGACAGGACAGGTGACCCAAAACTGACCAACAGGGTATTCTGTCCCATCTGCCCCATGCTCAGTATAGAAGAGGGTCAGCCTCTTTCTTCAATGGCTGGCATCTGAGGAGGACTCTTCCTGTTCATCTGCCTTTGATCCTGATCCATGTGTTCCTGACTCCAGATCCGGAATCCTGTCTGTCCCATCTTTCACTGAGTCCAGTGTGGGACTTCCCCAGTGCCTGCTGGTGAGTTGGTCATCATCCTGGGAGTTTGATACAGTTTTGCATATATTGTATATATTTTTTGCTATTTTCTTTTTATTATTAGTGTGGGACTTCCCCAGTGCCTGCTGGTGAGTTGGTCATCATCCTGGGAGTTTGATACAGTTTTGCATATATTGTATATATTTTTTGCTATTTTCTTTTTATTATTTTATTAATGTTTCATTAAAGTAGTTTAGTTTCTTTTAGACTCATAAGTCTTTCTCTCTCTTCCTCCTCTCCCTGAAGGGAGATATTCTCCTTTCTCTAAAGGCAGAGAGGTCAGAGAGCATCTGTTCATTTCAGTGGCCAGTTCAGCCCAAACCATGACAGAGCTTCAGTAGAGTAATACAGACATATGTTCAAAGACATTATAATACTCTGGCTTTGCTTCAAGCTCAGTGTTCTTCCTTTCTCACCCTTGCAGCTGTATGAAGTAGCAAATACAGAAAAAAACATCAATACTGGCAATTTTAAAATTCTGTTTCTTGTAAGTTGTTTTCAGTGGCAGACTGACAGCTCCTGTGTGCTTTTCCTAAAAAGCATACAAATGCCTTTTTTCTAAGTTTGGCTGGCAGGTACAACAGATGCCACTCTGGCAGAAGGTATCAGAAGTGGTGGTTGTTCTGCCAGGGGACACCTATGAGCCCTGGGACCAGGAATGGGTCTCAGCAGCCAGCTCTGCACGTGCCTTTCACCACCTGCGGGCCTGGGGCTGGGTTCCAGCCACCCCATGCATGGGTACAAAGCTCAGAAGTGCAGAGGATCTCCCCCGGCATGGGGCAAAGCCTGAGGAGCAGAGCATGGAGACATACTGCCCTGTCTGAGCTGTCGGTGCTCTGGGGCAAAGCATGAGCCGAGCTGGGGGCTGTGGCAGTTCCCCTGTTTGGCTGCAATGGCCAGCAACTGTTTGACAGCTCAACATCTGTTACCCTGCGAGGGGGAGCAAGTGTTGGATGGTCAATGCCCACGGGCTGCAGTCCTCTTGGCGTTGTTTGCACATCTGTCCTTGGTTCATTGATGTGTCAGCCTCTCCCCGGTCATCTGAGAGAAGTCTTACTGCTATGCTGAGCTTTCATCCCACTGCTCTTCCTCCTGCTCTGAACATGCTTTTTACAGGTAGGGTGCTCCTCCTGGACACATAAGCTGCTGTTACACTGCTGAATTTACAAATGCCTCATATTTAATTTGTGTGCTATTCTCTCTCAGGTATTGACGTAGCTTCATTTCTTTCTTTCTGAGTCACAGAAGAGGGAATGAAGTAATGATGCAATGACTGGGGCATAAACTGTGTGTGGGGAGGCAAGGTCTGGACAAACGCTGTATCTTTTGTCTATTTTAGGAGGAGAAGTTGAATTTTCAAAATTCACAGAGTTGTAGCTTTGTATGACCTACAAGTGTATAGTAGACACCTGGGTCCCCTATGGAGTGTCCCAGGCACCGTGTCACCTAGCATGGGTGAGGAAGAGCTGGGTCACCTGCTGAGCCTGTCCAGGGCTGCCAGTCAGGACCTTGAGGGATGTGCAGTGGAGGCCACAGATCAGGAGTCCCCACAGCAGCCCGAGCATTGCCCCTGAGCAATCCCAGGGCCTACTGCCCTCCTTGCTGGTGACCTTGACCATGTTCTTCAGTTGGCACCGCTCAACCGTGCTGGACAATGGGGCACTGAACTCTCGCTTTCAGCCCCACACACAAGGATAGAAGGCTGTGGCTGGGATCTAGAGGATCCATTGAGCCAGGGAGTGGCTGAGGGACCCTGGACCATGAGGGAATCTATGAGACTAAGACACACCAAAGATAGCTGGGGACTTGTGTAGAAGGACCACACGGGACGTGTGGCAGGGATGTCATGATCCTGGGGACAGCCAAAGCTGGAGAGGGGCAAGGAGGAGAAAGCCCCCAGGTCCCTGGAGGCACAAGGGTCTTTGTAAAGCTAAGACACCCCGAGGATCCCTGGGGCACAGAGGGATATGCATGTGAGGTGTGGGACTATTTGCGGGGTAAGGATTCCTGGGGCCATGGGAGGATCTGTGGCGCGGAGACACCAGTGGGATCTCTGGAGAACCCAAGGGAATGTGGGAGGGGGGTGGGGATCTGTGGGTCTGATGCACTCCAGGATGCCTGGGGCAGGGGGAGGCCCATGAGGCTGAGGCACCCCCACACGACACCCTGTGCCAGGGATGCCCAGGGATGCCCCACAGCATGGCAGGACAGCCACACACCCTGGGGGTGGGAGGGGGCAGGGGGATGTTAACACTCCTGTGAACCCTGGCTCTTGTTCTTGCTGAGGAATTTCCTCCCCCCTGTGATGGGAAACAAGCAGCACTCTGCTGCCCCGTGACCATTTCTTTCACTTTCCACTGATTTCCCAGAAATAGCAGGCGGCAGACCCAGGGTATAAGAGAGGGCGACACCCCAGCCTGCTGGGGAGATGCAGCTGAGGCAGCCACAGCACAAGGTAAGGGCTGGGGCAGGGTCCTGCCCCGGGGTTTTGCTCAGGCCTTGGCAGGCTTTAAACCCAAGGGAAGTGGGAGGCTTTGGGGAGATGTTTCTGTGGGTGCTTTCGCCCTGCAGGGTCTCCAGGGAGCCCTGCATCTCTCCTGTGACTTCAGCCACTCTCTCCCACACAGCTTGGCCCCGGGGCTCTTCATGCAGAGTCCCAGCCACCCCCTCCAGCCTCTGATCTGTAGGCTGCCCAGTCAAACAGCGGGGCTGAGGGACCTTCCCCATGTGGGTGAGGGCATGGGGAGACCATCTCTGCCTTGGTTTCCCCCGTCCCAATTTATGGCCAGACTAGAACAGGGCACCCGGTCTCCCTGTGCACCTGAAGCGGAGGTGCAGGACTGTTCAAAATGTGCTGCTCTTACCCCTTCCTGCAACACAAGAAAAATACTTGCCGGGAAAAGGAAAAATTAATTGTCGTTTGAATATTTTTCTAGTTTTGCTGTTTCAGAGGGAAAAAAAAAATAAGTGCAAGTATGGGAAAGGGATAGAGCAGGTTTAAGCATTTTAGAGACTAAGCTGCAAAGAGGGAGATGAGCGATGCACAATAGGGCTGAGAGCAGCATCAGCAAGTAGGAAGCGGAGGACACCAGAAAAAGGGTGAAGCAATGCACAGAGAGAGATTCCAGAACAGAAACTTCAGCTCTTTTTCTTACGCTTTCACAAAGTAGAGCTGGACTGGGCCAAACTCTGTTCATCTGGAAAGTCCCAGTCCATAGAAGTTCCTCAAAACACACGCATTTCCAGGAGTGTAAAAAGCAGCTGCTCCTAAGCATTCTCAGACGTGCTGGCAAAGCCCCTACATGGCTTGAAGAGGGATTTGAAACCAAGTGGGCTTATAACCACTTCGTTATAATGAGGTTCCCCTTCTCATTGCACGGGGAAGAGGGGTAGCTAAAATGACCAAACCTGGGCTTCTCAGGCTGATCTTTGTGACCTTTCCTTTAGACCTTTGGCTTTGAAGCTGCAAGTCTCGTTGCTGAAGTTTTCTCCTTGGCTGCCTGGGTTTGAGCTGCTGCAATGGAGAGTGCAGCGAGCAACAGTGAGGATGAAAGCGGAGAGAAACCTCATCCTGTGCCTCCGTCTGCTCAGGAAGGCAGCAGCCACCTGCTATGCGAGGAAGGAGGTAACAGGAAATGTTGTGGGTGGAGGCAATGTAAACAGCCACCAGCTCACACCCAATGTCTCTAACCTAGCAACTTCCTACAGTAGGGGGAATCCCAGTGAAACTAACTATAGAAGGGTACATGACTATTGAAATCTTTGAGCTCCTGTAATAGAGGGTGAGCTTTATCTTGTGTTTAAAATACCTGAACTTTATCTATAAGGAAATGCATATAAATATATATAGCTGATCTCCCATCAGTGCTACCAGGAAAAAAAAAAAAAAAACCAACCAAAAAACAACAAAGCTGCTTCACTTGGTAAAGAAAAAAAAAAAAAAAGAAAGAAGAAAGAAGAAGAAGAGGGTGAACTCTGTCCAGTCTCCCTAGGCCCAAAGAAAAGCTATCTGCCAGAAGCAGCATGTCACATCTGTGTGGCAGCCAGTCTCTTATCTTCTATGCCACGGATTTAATTTGGGAGTCAACAGAACTAGAATCGGAAGATGCCACAACTTTCACTAAAGGCCCTGTAGCAAACTTTGTTCCCCGTGGGGACACATGCCCTGTCTTTACATATGTATGCCAGTCTCAAACAACGGGGAGGAGCAGCGCTGATGTGTGCATTTTTATGATGCTGTCAGCAGGCTGGATGGCTGGCTGAGCATCATATCACAGGCACAATCTGCTCTTACCACATGATTTTGATCCAAGTTTGTCCCTGGGTGGTTTCCCTTGGAAGAATTTCAGCAGCAGGAATCAGAGCTTCCTGACTTTGTAAAACTTGGTGCAAGCCCTGCCCTAGATCAGTCCTTCTTGTCTTCTTTTCCACCTGCTTCTCTTTTATCCATTTCAATGACATTTTCTTTCCATGCACTGTTGTTAACTTCTCTCTACTAAATATAGGTAACTGGCTTGGATTAAATATGCCAGCTTTTAGCTAGCTTTGATGAGTCCACCCACTAGGGTAGAAATCTGGGCTCTGTGACGGCTGGCCCAGCTCAGACCTTTCAGCAGATTCTAATTGGAAAAGGGGAAAATTTTAAAAGCCATTGATGCTCCTTCATTATTAGGAGAAAAGTGAGAGGTCTTAGCATTGTTGTAGCAGACATGGTGAAGATAGACACTGTAGTCAATACATGTGTTTTCTTGCACCAGGAATGAAATCTGCAGCACGGAAAAGCAACAAGCAGCAACCTCTCTGCACAGACCATCTGACAGATACCATGCTTGCATCCCAGGTATAAGCTCTAGGACCAAAGATGGAGGTGGGAACCCTGTTTCTCTAGGTCCAGAGTAGTCAAGTTACATGATTTCTGAGCATCACTTAGCCAGGCTCTGCAGCTGCAGAGGAATGGAAGGACCCATTCTGTAAGACCTGAGCTTCACCCTATTTGGTGCCCCACAGAGAAACTGGCAAAATGAGTTGATGCTTTCAGATTGTAGAATATCTGCAGCACAGCTGATGGGAAAGGGGCTTATGGCAGGGGAAAATAGTTGGGAATGACACAACCACATTCATTAGATCCCCAGAGCTGGAATTCATAGTCCTTCCCTGTGAAACCTGTTCCCCCACAACCTTCTCTGAAGAGTGTTTCCTGATTTCTGAAATATTCCCAAAGGGAGACTGTGATACCAGTTCATTCCTGGAATGTGGGAAAAGTGACCCCTCAACTGAATGTGACAGCAGCTCCTGGGAGATTCTGCCTACTGACTCAGGTACAGTGTGAGTGGGGAATGGCTTGATGAAGCAGAAATGGTTAGGAAAACCCAGGCAAAAAGAAGGTCAGTATCCAATCCTGAGGAGTAGAAGGGCACTTCTGCCCTCTCCTGTATATTACCTTGCTGCTGCTCCCCTCACTGCCTGTGTTGCAGCGTTACTAATTCACTTCCTGGTCCTAAGAAGTGAGCCTATGAGACAAAAGATGGGGACAGCATTGGGATTTCTCCTTTCAAGGGCGCACCCCTAAAAATTGACCTGGTTGAGATCCCTCCTGGACGATCTTTGCTCGACCTAGTTCTCTGACAAGTTTAGTCTGCTGCTCCCCGCAATCAGTGCCATGGGCCCCAAGGCTTCCTGTGTGCCTCTCTGCTGGCCAGCTTGTGGGGAGGGCAGGCACCAGATCAGATGGAAACCTTGATCTCACTTTGTGCTCACCTCCAAATGCTGTAGAGGAAGAGAAACTCCAGGCACACAAGAGAAGTGCAGAACTCTTGGGATATCACCATACCAGACAGAAATCACCCCCCAAGTCCAGTGACGACACCTCTGGCAGAACTAACAAGGTAAGAGTTTTTAATTGGTTATCACTGATGTCAATATACTCAGGCCAAAATAAAATATGTGACAGAAGTCACACAGAGTGAAAATCAGCCTTTAACTAGGGCACTTTCCTGTTATTGGTGATTGAAATCCTTAAACTGACATATTTAACATTAAAGAAGAGATTTGCCTCTTCCTGTCTCACTCGAAAGAGGCTCCACTAGGAAGCCTGAGTATGGTCCTTGCTTGCTGTTCCATGCTAGTAAACCCAAATGGATGCTGTACACCAGCACTGGGCAGAAAGAGACGGACGGCTCTGACAATATCACGGAGCAGCTCTGAAGAGATTTCAGATTTCTCTGAACAGGTTTCCATGTGACCATGTCCACTCAATATCCAGTTGTTTTATGTCTTTAGGCTAGTTCTGGGAACTTCTTCTGTGATTTTGCGTTCTTTATCACTATCATCATGGCAAATGAAATCAGGTGTCTTGCTTCTTTTCCTCATACGTATAAAACAAACACCAATGTAAAATTTGAGGTCTGACCTCTTTCTTTTCTTGGAAGAAATTCCTTGTGAGAAAACAGTTTGGAGAAAGACAATTTCTGTCAAAAGACTGTTTGATTTTGTTCCCATAAGAAGTAAAATCTTTGCTTGAAAATTCAAGATTTCCCATGGAATTTGTTTCCTTCTGCTGCTGATCAGCCCTACAGTCAAACTATAAAAGTTCTGGTCTAGCAGACTGTGTTGATGTATTACAATCTAGGAGCACAGTAACAACTCTGAGTACAAGTATGTCTTCAAATTTCCGAACCTCGTGTGAACATTAAGGCATTACTAGATTGTGCTACAATATCCCAGGAGCCTGAGATAGGCTGTGCTGCCAGTGCTGCCAGTACTCCTGTTTTGAGATAAACAACATTAAGGGCTGCACTGTTGATCTCTTTTTCTTGCTTGCTCTGGTAGAAGTTATTTCCTGGCTTGGCCACAGCCATACTTTGCTTTGACACAGTCTCAAATGATGGAGTTCCTCCAAAAGCTCTTCAGCACTGATGGAGACCTGGGCTGATGCAGCACATGGCAGGGAAACTCTAACTATGGCCATTACTGCACATATTCTTCTCCTTTCTATGGCCCGGGAGGAGAGCCATACTCAATAAATCCTATACCAACATATCAACAGCAGGTTGCTGTGTAAGTGGAGAGGGAGCATTATTTGAGTGCTAATTCCAGTCAGGTGGGGCTATCAGAAACCCAGGATCCCCAGCCATCAAGGAAGCCAAAACTCCTTCTGAGTGGGCATCACACTGTAACTGCCAAAGAGAAAACTGAATCATGGCTGAACTCCTTGGGGAACTCTGAGGATAATGTATGAGGGTTGTATTTTCCACCCCTCTAGCATGCAGGATAACATTCTTTTGGGTGTGGGGGGTCACTAGCATGGATTTGCAAGGTGACACCCTGAGTTCACTTGCATTATGCTGAGATGCGTGGCTCTCATGCACTCTCTCTGAGTGCATAGCTCTGCTCTTTGCACTCATAATTTGTTGTGTGCAAAGCAGAAGCCATTAAAAGAAACACTGGAAGAAAGATTGAATTGCTTCTTCAGCTCTGCACCTCCCCTGGCCCTGTGCCTCTAGCATCGTTTGCGTTTTTGGGTCTGAATCATAGCTCGGGGGCGTCTCTTTAACTTTAAAACTTTATTTTCCAAGGAAATGGTCCCGTGTCACCAGAGGAGAGAGGAACCAGTAGAGCAAAGAGACTCTAACAGAAGAGGTAACTGGCGAGTGTATTTTAGCATTCCCATCTCTGCTCTAATGCAAATCTGATGTTGACTATTGTGAAGAGCAGGCCTGAGTGTGCAGGGCCTGGCTGGGAGTCAGAGGCTCCTGGTAATGCCAGATGTAAATTGTTTTAGTGTCTAGAGGTACTTGGCTTGCTACCATGAGCTGCCTATGGGGGAGAAAGACAATTGGTAAGAGAAGCCTCAAAGCTGATTGTTCAGCATAATTGTATGTTCTTCCTTCCACCCCTTGCCCCCATCCACAACTCTGCTGATGTGAGGTGTGCTAACAATTGTCCTTAGACCCACGCTCACCCCCAGCAGCATAAATTGCCCCATGTCCCTATCCCCAGGAAATCTGTACCAAGCATTGGTGGAGCTTGGCAAGATAGGTGGGAAGTCGCACTACAAGTGGGCTGGGATTCAAAGAGCCAGAGGACCGTACCCCAGCTGTGAGGATTTTAACTTCAAGATCTTCTCTCCCATTCCCAGTATGCAACTGTCTTCTAATTTTTCTTGATTTGGTCTGTTTTCTGCTGATGTTAACCCAAGCATTCTCCTCATTTGCAGATGACTGTGAAAGAAAAGAAGACCTAGGACCCGATAGCAGGTTTGTTCATGTGGAAATCTGTGCTATGTGGGATTTCTCATCAGACCCCAAGGATCTTGAGATCTGGGAGCTTGCTGGGAGAAGAGCTGTGTTTGGGAGGAGGTGTAGGTTTAGTACTGTAAGGCTACTCCAGCCTTAAACTCCTTTTTCCACCAGCAGATCAAGATGGAGACAGGTAGAGGCCCTCCAGAACAGGCACTGGTCTCTTTGCAATGCCCCTTGGTCTACAGCATGCTGTCTGTAATCTGAAATATTCTCACAGTAGTTTGATACTTGCATGTAAGCAGCTGGGACCACTGTAAATGCTTTATGGTAATCAGGATATTTGTACAGGACTGGAAGAAATGATGCAGAAGATACTTCTTTTCCAGGAGCTGCAGCCAGAGACTCAGAGAAATACATGTGAGTGTCTGAATGCTGCCCTGAAGTCCTGAAGGGATCAGGTGAAGATGGCGAAGGAGTGGTGGAGGGGGGGGCTTGGTGTTAACCTTACAGTATTTCTTTCCATTCCAATAGTTTCCTGGAGGATCCATATCTGTCCAATGAAAGACTTCAGACAGAAGAAACAATGACCCTAGAGTTTGTTGCTGTAATGTCAAAAAAATCCAGATATTCTGAAAAGTCAGACAAGATCTTTATTGCTTTTTACAAGCAACCTGGAAAATACCAGAAGTTTGGTGCTCTGAAAAGAAGGTAAAAATCATACCTAAATGTATGTCGATGTCACATTTTGAAAAGCATACACCTCACCCCAACTTTAGGATCCCAGCCTGGTCTTCAACTCCAGACCAAGACACCTAAATTTAGATGTCTGTAGAAGTGAGTTAACAGTTTCAAGCTTAACTTCTATAGGTCCTGCATCAGGTTTCCCAGATCTGCACAGAGGTCTAAAATGTTACAGAGCTTTTCAAATGTCAACAGATGCCTTTCATGAGAGAAGATGGAGTGAATAGAGTCACCTCAGTTGACCCTGCTCACTGGTACAGTTGCAGTACTCAGCAGGAATATCTCTAGTTCTATTTCCCACTCTTTTTACAAGGCAGCTACAACTTTGGCTAGGACCACAGTTGTTCACATCAAGAATTCTTACCAGTTAATTTATCTCTCATCTGTCTGATAAGCCTTCAAGCTCAGGTCAGATTATCAAGCTTTTGTCTGTCGTTATAGAGCCAGAGGCATTTTGTTAAACTTTGCATTTTGAAAGCGAACATTAGTTGCTTTATCTTGCTGTATGAATTGATCTGTACAGCTAAAGTCCATCTGGGGTTGAACCTTATGAAAATTTCTTACAGTGTAGTAACTGATTCATATTCTTCTTTTTCAGCTCTAAGAACAACTGTATTGTGGGCAGTGCAACGATCCCCATTTCTGACCTACAGAGAGGACCAATTTTTTATAAATATGCTATCTGTAGCAATATGCTCTCAAATGACTATGAAAAGAGATCATATGATTTAGAGCATATTTATGGAACAGACTCCAAAAATATAGAGAGTCAATTACACCGAGTCATAAACATTCCCAAGGAAGACATCAAAGCAGGTGGTAAGTGTTGTGCTTTCTTCAAAGGTAAGACTGAAGTGAAGTCTGACCATCAAATTCCTGCATGCAGCAAATGAATATAAACTCTCCCTTGTTTTGCTTTGCAGTGGAGTAGCACCTTCTTACTACTACAGAAGCATGTTATTGTGGGGATTTCTGACACGTAGGCTTATGGGCTACTTATTCAACACAAACAAACTCTTTATATAAAAACGCAAACACAAACAATTATGGAAGGAGTGTTTACATTATTTAGCTTTTTCCCAGAGTAAACTTCTGAGTTTGCTTTTTACTGAGTTTTTTTTTATTGTTGGGCAAGAGAGGGTGTGTAATGAAGTCTTGTCTCACCTTTGCACCTACCATCCGGCCTTCAGTTGCCATTCCAGAAGGGTGGAGGTGAGCTGGAGGTCCAGTGTCAGATCTGCCACCCCATATAGATGTTTTGAATATGCCAGGATGACTCAAAATGTAGTAGACACCTATTGTTGGGGCAATTGAATCAGCCATGGGCTATGCACACCAGGCCCATCTAAAGCACAAGTGGATCTCTAGGGCTGAATTCAAATATGCACGGTGAATTTTGTGCATTAGTGGTTTGGTTATGGCTCAGCTGGGCTTGGAATTTATATAAAGCAATTGGTATCGTTAGCCAGGTATCAGGGCCAGCTAAAGACTCATCCTTTATAGGTTTGAAGGTTCATTCACAAACCCTGATTCCTCCCCAGGAACATGGACCATTTTTGAACACACGAAGTGCCATTTTCCTGAAAAAGATAATCACTGGAAATACTTGCGTTTCTTCAAACGTCCTTCAAAAACAATGCCCCAAAAGTCAGTCAACTGTGGTATCATAGAATACCTTGCAGATGAATTTCTCTGCACCATCAGGCTCCAGAAGGGCTTTAAGAATATAGAAAGGAAACTGGAGATCTACACGAAGAGCTTCAAAATCTATCTCGGGGATGCTGCAAAAGGCGAACCCTTTTCTCCAACTAATCTCACTGAGCAAGTGGTGAGTATACATCAAGCAAAAGTAACAATCAATTCCCAGGTAGACAGACTTATGAAGAGAAATTTCTGCAGCTACCTCTAATTTCCTGTAGGTTTCTGAACCACAGCCAGAGGACATCAAAAGGCTGGGCCTTATTTTCGTTGCTTTTTCCAATTTTTGGGTTGTACCCAAAGCCTGATGAAGTCAAAGGAGATCTTCTGTTGGAATCAGACACAAATGGTGTAATTTATAGAACTAGCTTTGAGTCTGGGCCATTGAAAGACTACCTTGTATTTGAAAATCCTGTGTGCGAAAAAAAGAATTTCACATGCAGTTACGTTCTGGCTTCAATGCCTCACTTTAAAATCTAAAATTAGATTCCCATATGACATTTCTCAGGGGTATGAACCAAAGGTAGGAAGCATTTTATGATTGTAGACACCTGAAATAAAGTTGGCATACTGAAAAATAACTGGGTGCTTACATGCTGAATGTCTTAGCTTCTGTTGTAGGTGCTGAGAAGTAGTCAACAGAGTTATTGCAGGACTGGAGAGAGTTAACCATTCATTAGGCACTGATGTTTAGTCAGAGGAACAGCTTACCCGTCCTTATCGCCTGCAATGATGGATCCTCCCTGGGTTGACATTGCTTCTTTCAGGTGTTTACTTTCCTGAGATGAGTACTATTTTCAGTATGAACAGGTCCAATTGAGCAATCCCCCCCTCCCCAGCTGCCTTCATTACCAGCAGAGATCTTTCTGCAAGGGACAAAGACAAGGATGTTTGTCGTATCCTAAGGTGGACAGGTAGAATTTTGCCCTGGATACATCCATTTCTTGCCATGGTTTGAGCAGGAATCCTGGAAGAAAAGTTGAAGTCAATGTTCGTGGAAGTTAATCCCTATCCTACAAATGCAATAGAAAGGCAAAATCTCCACAGCTAAAGGAGACCACTGATGTCCACTCCCATCCCAACATGGCTTCTGAGATGGTATTAGGTCTGGCTGGGGTGGAGTTAACTTTCCTCATACCATATTGTGCTATGTCTTGCTTTTGTGGATAAAACAGTGTTGATAACAAGTCAAGGTTTTGCTACTGCTGAACCGTGCTTGTACAACATCGAGGCTTTCTCTCCTCAAGTGAGTATAGGTGGTGGGCAAGAGGTGGGGTCAGGCAAGACAGCTGACCCAAATTGACCAAAGAGATATTCCATACTATATGAAGTTGTCCTCAGCAATAATAACTCAGAGGAATGAGAAGGAAGTAGGGATGTTTGCAGTTATGGCATTTGTCTTCCCAAGCAATTGTTATGTGTGCTGAGACCCTGCCACATAGGGACTGGACATCTCCCTGCCAATGAGAAGCACTGTATGAATTCTTCTTTTTTCTTTGTTTATGTGCACAGATTTTGCTTTCCCTGTTTACCAGTCATTATCTCAGTTTATGAGTCTGCTCACTTCCTTTCTATTTTCACCCTGGCCCCCAGGAGAGAGATTAAGTGAGAAGCCTGTTAGGTGTTCGGCTGTTGGCCAGGCTTAACCCACCAGTGATGTTTAATGGAAGCTCTGTTTGAGCTGGGGTGTCACATCCACCTGGCATGGTCTGGGGCTTGCCCCAGAGGTAGCTGGGTGGGGATGTTATCTTCTATTGTGGATGTATCCTACAAGGTCTTATGTTGTGCAAAGCCTGAAATACACATGGGCTGCATAGGATGCAGAGCAATGTCTTGCAAGTCATCTGTAGGGAAATCCCAATGTGAGGAGTTCAGTGACAGGAGCTGCATCTCTGTTTCAGTGAAAATAGTTTATCTGCCTTTTCAGTTTCTCAGTCATGGAGTCATACTCCTTCCTATAGCAAGGTAGCCTCTGAAAGAATCTCCACTATTCTTTTTGGTTCCCTTTGATTTCCCTGCTCAGTTAGGAGACTGTCTGTTTACCTATGCTTCATCTATGGTAGGGCTTGAGCATCCTAGAATGGGTGGCAAGTAGGCTCCTGGTGCTAGTATGGATTCAGCACATAAGAACTACTAGGTAAACTTAAGACAGCCACTAAAACATTCTTGCTGGGGTTGTGCCAGGACAGTGAGACACAATGGAAGCCAAGAAATTTGTTAGCTGTTGCAAAGACAGGAACCTGTATTTAAGTAAGTGGTCTAACTGCTTTTGCCTCCAAATAAAGATTCTTAGCATCTTCCATCCTCTTTCCTGAAGCCTTTCCAGCTCCTCAACTAAAATTGTCTTACCTATCTTGGTGAAACTCCCCTTCCTTATTCTCATTGTCCAGTTGAACTGTAACATGATAAATTTTATCGACACGATCATTGGATACCTGGAGAAAGAGGAGCACAAGGATGAAGGGCTGCTTTTTGCCTTATACACCTCATCTTGTTATAATGTCCCACTAAGTAAAGATGTAATCATCAAGGCTGAAAAACTCTTCCAGAACATCGGCCCCTTTCAAGGCAAATTCCAGCATCTGAGAGGACAGAGGTAATTAAAATTGTCACACTGCTTTCTTGAGTTACAGATCCTTTTGTAGTCATTTAGTTCATTGAGCTATTTTCTCCATGGAGCGTTTATGTGAAGATAGTGGAGGAATGTGGTTCCCC